TTCTTTAATAAATTCATTTTAAAACAACAACAGGAGCCCAATTTTGTGTAGTCAATGATGCTGTGTCTCCCAAAAAAATAGACATCCGTTTGTTGATGATATTTACAGCAGATTCTTTCATTTTATCTAACAACTTTTATATAATTTTGAAATAAACGGCAAGGCTTTTCCTCAGTAGGTGGAGGTCAGTAGGTGACCCTTAATCAGGGGTGTCAAACTGAAGTCTTTGAGGGCAGCTGTCCTGCAGGTTTTAGAGGAAACCCTTTTTCAACACAGAGCCATTAGGAGACAGATGCAAAGCTCAACGATGTCCAGAGGAGATCCAATTTAATAAGAATCAGGTGTGCAGAGTCAGGAAAATGTCTAAAACCTGCGGGGCAGCGGCCCTCGAGGGCATTGCGTTTGACACCCTTGCTCTAAACTGAGGCGGGGTGAGTGTGTGGTGCATGGCGGTGTGGCCCTTGATGGACTGCCGACTTATCCAGGGAATGTAAACTTCTTCTGACACTCGTTTGACCCTGTCTCACCAGGGAAGAGGCTGAGAAGCATCCGAATCAGAGCAGCCACACTTCAGATAAGCTTCTTCCAAGATGAATAGTTTTTAAATGCTTTGGAAATGTGCCTTTGAATGATTCAATATGCAATATGTATCAATAAAAGATTAATTACATCATAAATGTATGCAGTCATTTTCCTTCCTGTAATTCCAGGCATACTTTTCCTTTTACATTCAGAGCATACAATAGTGCACTTTTTAAAACTGCTATGTTTAAGATGTGTAACAGGAATGATTCAATTTGTTATTATTCTGTTTATGTTTTCAGTTGTTGCTGTTCTTACTGAAAACTTAATCTCGGTTTTGGCATGACAACAAAATTCCATCAATTTCAAGTTTAATTTTTGCACCTGTCAGTCCAACATCTTTTTTTTTTAATCCTTCAACCCATTTCCCTTTTTCAAGCCAGGATGTGACAGACTCACGTTCAACATTTTAAATGTTTTATATCTGCCATCGTGAGTCAGTTTTTGGTGTATGATGTTTGCAAACGAATGGATTGTGTTTTTATTTCAGCTCCTCTGGAGTCAGGGTTTTACATTTCAGTCATACATTGAATGCCAGTTTTGGGGAGTCTCAAAGACCTGAACTGGAGGAAATTACATTCTGCAGCAGAAACAAAAAATCTAAATAATTCTACATGATATTTTGAAACAATGTCTGTTTTTTAGTCATGAACAAAAGTGTATATCCTTTTATTACATTTTTGTTCTGCAGCATCTAAATGAATAAAATCTGATGCCATTTTATCCAGATATTACCTGAGGGAATGTTGTTTTATGTGACCCTGAAAGGAAATTTAGATTATTATTTGTATTGTTGAGAATTGATTTAATTTCCCTGAAGAGAGCAAGATATTAGTTGGACGACTGGTCCCTCTACCTTTATGCCTTTGGTGGCTCCAGAGGTTTCACAGTGATAAATGTTTATAACAGCAGGACGTTACCTAAAGTCGTAGAAACGCCTGAAGGTGAACATCAATCAAACTAAGGAAGGTGAGATTCAGCATGAAGGGGGTAAGTGCAAAAGCGAATGAAAGGCAGCTGTTTTCCTCTAAGTCAGTCCAGCACTGCTGTGCTGTTTTGGTGGTTATACTAGGGTGTAACAAACTAAGCTTTTGCCCAAACAAAGAGAACAATATGAAACATCTGAAAAACAGCAACTATCTCAGCTGGAAAATATGGGTTCTACAACCGGTCTCAGCACAATTTTGCAACTGCTTAAGGAAATTAGATCACAAGCTCATTTACACAATTGTTACTTCCCTCTCTGCTCTGAGACTTTCTGCAGAGCCTGGACTAATTATTTCCTCTCTGATGCACCTGAACCTGCTTTCTCATGTTTGTAAAATGAACAGAGCAGCATATATTTGAATGAACCTTCGTTGTAACACTGAAAATGTTGCTTTCACGTTGATGATGTGTAGATATAGCAGGACTCACCTTGTAACTGAAAATCAGAGCTAAGACAGAGATGCAAATGGTTTGATAGCAACTACTGTGTCTGCTCAAAAAGTCCTCAAAACAAAAAGTCAGAGCACAACAGCACCTTTAAAATTAATAAGAAGGGAGGTATTCCACAGAAAGAGGTTAGCATTGCATACAATTGCATATGGCATTCATATTCTAAATACTTAATAGTAACATTAAGTCTTCTGAGAGGAACTTTTTTTTTGTATGCCTGGGAAACTGGCCGACAGGCTGAGGCTGCACTGCATTGAAAACAGTCTTGATTTGATTCTGTAGCTGAAACCCCTCAGTCAAGAAACAATGAAAGCATCAAAACTGCAAGTAATACCATTTGGAGCAAAGTTACAGTATGGCTGCTACCTTTGGGCTCAAGCTGCACAGGTGAGCTCAGAAAAATCATGAAGCTGTACAATATTCTTAATTCATTTTGAAAAGTGTGGACACTTTATGCTCCTGGAAGAAGAGAGAGAGCAACTAACTGACTTGTTTAAGAGCCCAAAAGCCAGCATCACTATCTGAATAGGGGTGCATTAGCGCACATCTGTGAAGCTACAGCTGAGCAACACACTTTTTTTGTCTCTACACAGGGGTCTGTTTTTCTTTAAAGAGTCAAGATTCAAGCTTTATTTTATGTCCCGGAGGAAATTACTGTGCAGCAGTTGCCAGTTACAATGCGAAATTTGGGAGTAATAAAGCACAAATAGAATCATTAAAAAAACATAGTAACTAAATTCAACATAATTATCAAATTGCCAGGATTACCATTTGTAGGTAGGTGTTAAAATACCTAAGAAATGCACATGATAAGCTCTTTTAGCAGCCTTAATGAATGATGCCCGACTAGGGGTAGTGGGACTCTATGATTCCTTAACATTGGCATACAGCAGGTACGGTGTCATGTTTTCCCTTTTATTTGTGATCAGATTTAGTGAATTGTTTCTTTGAATATTTGTGTTTAGACCCAGCTTAGACACAGCTTCAGTCTGTTCATTTAATAAATCCAAATATTGTCTTTTTTATTTGACTTGTTTCACAATCTTTTCCAATCTTTTTAATTGTATGTTAAAAAACTGACAAAAAAATCAATACATTTTCTATAGTTCATGAATTTCCCTTATTGTGTAATGTAACGTGATTCAAATTCTGTCAGCAAAGAATAAAAAGACTTACCCGCTTCAACCTCAGCATAAAACATCAGCATCACACCTCATGTTTCCATCAAGATTTTTGACATACTGTTCAAATCAGAGAGAGGTGCAGAGACTGAAAGGAGAAAATAACAGTACCTCTCAGACATCTGCTCAACAACAGTTCAGCTCCATACTGCAGCCTCTCCAGTTTCTATTTGAACACTGATGCCTGACCATGATCTCGTGTTATTGCCACATCTCAATGCATGAAGTTCTCAAGAGCTGCTGGGAAGGCCTCTTCTAGTGCAAAACAAGCCCCTGCCATCGAGTTTTGGTTTTAAAATGTCAGACATGAGCGGTGGATCTAACCTGCTCAGCTGTCTCGTGTCTGTGTTGTTCTCAAGATAACCTGATCTATTGACAGAGATATCTAACAAAGAGGGTTTTAGTATTGGAAAAGGATAGGAAAAATACTTTTAGAATTTCATAATCTAACTATCTTTTGGTTATAAAATGATTATTATAATTATAATATGAATTTGATCAAAAAGAAGCTTAAACATGGTAACAAAGAATCACTTGCTTTTAAATGATCATGAAATTTTGTTGTAATCACTACTGAAAAACTTGCAAGTGAGTCCACGTATGAGAACCCAAGGCTGCAACACTTCGTAAAAGCAAATCTTATGAGTAATCATCTTTGAGTGGTGACATTTGACTTTTTTATCTTAAATTGCAGCAAATTTTATGGACAATTTAGTTTTACGATGTCCCCGACAGCATAGCAACCATCTGTCCAGTTTACACGTGACTGCTATTGTGCCATGTCAGTCCTTTAGAAAACTGACCGGGCCTTTGAAAGAAATGCCCTGCATGTGATCAGAGCAGTTCCTCAGTACATCATTCTATCAACGGGCAGTTTTGTGAGTCATTAGTCGTCCTCATAATTTCTGGGGCACAGCTGTGTTACACATGGTCCAATAAAAGTATGCTGCCTTGTCCAAGAAGTTGAGAAGGCTTCCAAATCATCATAGTAGTGTCATCTAGTGGCTGAGCGGTGAATTGATGCAGAGAACTGGTGCAAAACACTTGATTCAAGAATGTTTGAAAAACATTCTCTGGGGGACAGAATATGGGCTGTCTACCAGTGGAAATCAGCCAGACTCTTCAGGGACTGCGACAGGGCTCTTTAGGAGAGTAGAATGCATCACCAGTAAGGTCATCCTTCTCCTCCTAACTGAAGACATGGCTCCCAAGGTTGATCCAATGAAAAAAAAGGTATAGTATTAAAATAGTGTTAGATACTAATGCATTTAGAGGTTAAGGTCATTTAAAGCCTTTTAGAAAAAATGTATTACAAATAGTAGTGCAATGTAGTTTTCTGTATTTCATGTATCACTGCATGGTGACTACTGAGATCTGATTTATTTTGTTTTTAACTACTGAACCCAAAAAAAACAAAAGCTGATGTGTGCATGTTTTCAGCCAGACTTATAGTCAAAAGTCTTAGTCCGCTTTCATCCAAACAGAAGGCACTGCTTAAAATTTGTGTGAAAAAATTTATTTAACTCCTGTATGTAGGTCTTTAAGTTAAATCCCAAACTGTTATTTTTAATTTACAGTTTTCAAAAAGTAAAACATAACAATGAATGTGTCATAAAACACTAGATCTGTCTCATTGTGCCGTCAGTGGTCTTTGACGTCTGAGATTAGTCTTTTCATGTCTTTTCATTCGTGTCAGAAAACAAAAACTGAGAATTTCAGGTTGATAGGATAGAGACAATCTAAATTCTAACAGTTTTGAAATGTTTTTTTTGTAATCTGAACAAAGTTTTTTTTAACAGCTCAAATTAAATTTTACTATGTCTACAAAATTGCCATTTTCTTTATGACCTGTAATAAAAAGCACTGAACCAGGCTAATTCACTCATGAAAACTCTGCAGACATTATCATTTAATGATTTATTGACATTTAGTTTTTTTTCCACCATGGTTTCTCTTGATACCAACAGTATTTACCATAAAGTTATTTTTCATTTAAATTACATTAATGTTTTACTCACAAACACATGTATTGTTTCATTTTCTTATTGCAATAAACAAGAGTAGCCAGAATGAGTCAGGTATTGCTACGGTTTGCCATACAAACTCTTTGTTCCTCTGATAATGAAGTTCAAAAATAACTTTATTGGCAAGACAAAATTACACCATAGCCTCTCCGTCTCTCTCTTTTGCTCCTGAGAGAAACAGAGGGCAGCATAAGGCTAAGGCTAGGAGCCTAAACACAGCTAACATGAAGTACCTGCCCAGAAAATAGGAATCTAACATTTATTTCCCAAATGTGAATAATGTAAATGAATCGGTGGCAAGAACCACTTTGTGAACATACCCGTGGTGCTACTTGACTGACTGACCTACAGGGACAACACTGCAGTACTTTGATTAGGCTGGATTAGTGATCAAGACCTTGATGGAATCCCCCATGACTGATCAAGATTACCAAATCAAACACATACCTATTCGTTTTTTAGGCCACTTTATAGCTCCTAGGCTCTTCTTTCTCTGATTTGTGGGAGGTGGGGAGAGAGAAATTCCCTGCACACACTTGAATACATATGGTACACACACCAACAGGAAGGCAAGCATAAATTCTGGAATAGTATCTTACTCACAAAATCAACTTGAAGATTACTTTCAGCAAAGAAAAAGAGCACAATGGTGGAGGCTGGCATCAAGCCAGCTTCTTCTTTAGGTAATGGCATTGACAAGGATCCTCTGGATTTTTACACATTTCTCACACACATAAAGTAATGAAACTTTGCAAATATAAATGAAATAAGAGCCTGTTGAACAGTTCATCTAGCTTGTATCCCTTAATACTGGGTGCTGTACCCTGTTCCCAAAGCAGAAGATTCCCATAGAAAAAAAGGCCCTTTAATATGAAGGGACAGTCCCTGTGCCAAGCTACGCTTAAGTCTCCAGCTATACCCCCCCTCAGTCCCCTAAAGGACCTGCACTCCTCATGGAAGAACAGAAATCTTTCAGCTGGCATGCTCCCACTTTACACATGACTCCAGACAACATGTCACAACATGTCACAATGATAACAAGTCACTCTAATAAAAAAAAAAGCTCATTGCATTGCAATATTCAGACATAGGTAAGACATTAGAGCTCATTGCTTCTCAATGAAAGGGCACAGTGTACATCTCGTTCAGAAAGGGGCGTTAGTTTCAAGCTGTAAAGCGAGATGGGCCTGCTGTTGCTCAGCAAGCTGGTGTGGATCCCCATCTGCATTGCCTATTCATCAGTCTGTCTGGGTCACGTACAAAAACCCCAAAATGATAACTCCACCCACTTCTTCGCTTCCCTTTTATGGATGAAGTTATTTCCTACCTACAAAAATATTTTTTTCTGCTTTTTTTTTTTTTAAATCAATTTCGCTCACTTTTTTATGTGTAATACAAACACAAAGCAACAGTCCAAACTGAACAAAACAAAGTGCTCACCAGTCTTTGTAAAAGGAAACAAATCATGGTTCGTTTCATGGCTTTCAGTTGTAAGACAGGAAGTATCAGTAGATGCCTCAAGCTGGACGTGTCGGCACCCCGCTCCAGGCGGCCTCTGGCTCGGTCATCACCTCACCTCAACATCATTTCTACAAGAATGCAATCATCTTCATCTCTCTATAATATATGTGTTCCCTTTCAATATTATTGCCTGCCAGGTGCCAGAAGTAACTTCTATAATTGACTTAAATGAACCTCTGGGTATCAGTGAGGAGTAGGAGGACCGCGCAATACAGAGAGGGTCGACCCAGTGATGGAAAAGCCTGTCCCTGCAGAGGGTTGCCGTGAGGCTGTATGCAGAAACAACATTAGCACATCCAAACACTGGGTCAAATTTAAATCATATCTGCCCACTCTCAGAGTGATTCATCCTAGGAATGAAGTCCAGGAAGATGTGGATGTGAGCTTTTCCGATAATCTGAAGAGGAGTCTTGCCAAATAAACTCTGAACATTTCAGTATTTCATAACACTGTCATATTTTATCAATTGTATTCGTAATAAGATAAATATTCTAATATATAATCTGGTTTTAGATACAGCGGTACAGTATTTACCACTGTGTGACTTCTGCCTCTCATTATGTTCGTCTTTATCGAGGCCCTTCTCTGACTGTTATGGAAGCTGGCAGTTGCGCCCCCCTAGCAGTTTGTGTCTGTACGGTCTATTTTAGAACACAGATTTGTCCGGGCCTACGTGTGTCTGCATACTGCCTGCGGCTAATCCATCCACTGACCCGTGCCAGGCCTCCTCTCACCTCACCTTCTCGGGACGTGACAGAGAAGTGCAATCCCCCCCACAGTCACTTTTCTGCTCCTTTAACCTCCCCCCCCCCCCCCCTCCATCACACATGTTCAAACGCGAGTACCACCTGCCTGTTAGCCAAAGTCATGTTGCATCTAGAGTGGACCTAGTGTCACAAATTGAAGGGCTGCCGGCCTCCGACGGAGAGCAAGACATTTACAGTACTCTGGAGGCCACCACTGCTACATGTGGTGCGAACAGCAAAGACTGATGGAAGCAGCTTCCCTACTGACATAACATTATTGTCTTGGTTTTTTTGAGGTGCATAGGATGAGGAGAACACGTTGAGTCCAGATGAGAGGAGAAACCCAACCTGGCCCAGCATAGTAATGTAACAGTATGCATGGTTTAAAGTTTCCAGAGTGATCTGCATGTTTCTTCTGTATGTCGAGGTGGCCATGACGGGGCCACAGTGCAAGGGAGGGACCAGGGGAGGTGGTGAATGTACAAGGGACTTTAATGCATAATGATCAACTCTCCTCTGATTGTTCTATCTTTTTAAAAGTCTTCTGAAAAAGAAGGAGAGGGAGAGTTTCAGGTAAAGGGAAAAAGAGACATAATATCTGTACTCATTTCCACGGTTTCTTTCTCTTGTTGTCAGTCAGACATTTATTTAAATTATTAACCCCCTCTCCCTATGAATTGCTGTTTGTTGATCGCTTTGTGGCTTCACAGTGTGCTTTTGGAGTGGATGTTCCTGACTGGCTGAAGTCACACGGTGATGTGTCAGTAAGGAGAGAAGAGGATTGGCCCGTGGGTGGTGCGGATGGGCCCAGGGGCGGGTCTAAGAATGGCATGACTGAGATGTGGGCCTTGCAGGAGGTGGTGAGCGTGCGGGTGAGGTGCGGGAGCAGCTGCTCGGAGGGCCAGTTGGTTTGAGGATGCTGCAGCGGCCATTGCTGCAGCAACAGCCAAGGGGCTGGGCAACAGCCCCGCACCCAAAGCTTTGGTAAGATCCTTGGAGAAGGTCAGTGAAGACTGAAACCAGACAGAAATGCAGACAAGAGGGAAAGGATCACAAACAATTCCCATGTACATAACAAACAGGATTTAACTTTCCAGAAATTTGTACTCATGCTAATGTTTCCACTCAGATGTTTTAACATCTTTAGGAGGAAACCACTGGATTAAAAACAGAGCCACTGTTTTAGGGCTCAAGTAAATTCTAGGACCTTAAGACGTCTCTTTCTCAAATTTCACTGTTTATCTGATCAGCAGATCTCAAGTTTGCGAACTGTGTCACAGGAGCAGGTATTCTATTATGTAATGTGTTACCGTCAGATCAGTTCCCCTGTGCTTCTTGTGTCGGCTGAGGAGGGGGTTAGGTTTTCCTGCCATGCCATCTCGGTGCCTTCGACTTGATATGTGCTGAAAATTAAGAATACAAAACCACTTTATTGAAGTAAAATATTTCCCTTTCTATCACTGTGCCTTGGATGGCACATTGATTCTTATAAAAATGATTACAGAAACACAACAAATATTCTGTTAATTTGGTTTGACTTGATACACGTGAATGATTTGGCAAAACTGACAAAAATATCAACCATAATGATCTATTAAATCTAGAATAAAATCTCTGGACATAAGGTACAAGGTCAAAATTAGTATATTATTTCATGGTGACAGGAGCCTGCTCTAAAATAATTCATGTATAGTTTTTAGACTACAAGACTACTCTAGAAAATCAAAAGCTTGATGGCTCACATGTGTAGCTTTTTGTCAAATGTTTGTCTGTATTATTCAAATATGAATTTCCCATTAGAAGGCTAATAAAATTTTCCTCTCACCTGTTTGAGTTGCAGTTCAGAATTGACCCGCACATTGCAGATCTCACAGTGGAAAGTTCGTTCCTGAGTGTTGGGGTCCACAGGCCCCCCTCCCTGCTCTCCACTGGGCTTGGGGCCTATGCGAGGATATGCTTTAATAGGGCCCAGCCCACTCCTTGCTTCCAAGATAGTTTTGTGTTTAGTACCTGCAGGCATATACAAGCGCAAGCAAAAAAACAAAACAAAAAAAACAATCAGGGTGACAGTTTTATTAATCAAGATGAAATTACAAATTTAGAGGCCAATATAGCAAATAATACTGTGTAGATGAGCTGTCATCTATAACTTATGAGTCATACTGATTCCACCTGCCTGGAGTAAAATGAGATTGGACAGGATTTCTTTGTCGCACAGATCACTGCTGTCCAAACAATCATGGTGACAAATGTCAGAGGTTGATGGAGGAATATATACCCGCTGTCTATCCATTCCCCAATAAGTAGCACCAAATTAAAACACAGATGGAGTCAATGGCTGAGGTTTACCCACAAGAGGGCAGTAGTCAGATAGCTTTGGTTGGGTTAACTCAACCCTCCAATTTAAGATTAAAGTTACAGATTGACAAGGTTTTTTGTATGACAAGGCCATAAATTGTGAACCTTCATGACAGACTTTCCAGTTCCCACAATAAATTGTTATCAGTGTGAAAGTTTGGACATCTTATTAGTTGAAAAATATTGTTAGATTCTGCTTTAACCTGGTCTCAGGATCAGTGAAATAACACAAACAAACATAGTGATATCAGCCTAGTCATTACTGAAAAAGAGCACAGATTTACACTAATACACACTCAATTCTTCCAAACCCAAATTCAAGATTCCTCACTAAAGTATGTCCCTGTGCTAGCAAAAAAGACTATATAGAGACTATTATTATTGAAAGCTGGCCGTCATTAGAATAATTCCAGAAGAGTTTGTTGTTAAATATTCACACATTTTGCTCTTGATAGGAAAAGTCACCCTACCCCAACGCCTTTCCACACCATGAATTTGAATTAATTTAAAATCCCTTTGAACAGAGCTAAGGTTACAGAGGAGGGAGAAACCATCAGGGTGGGGTAGACCGGGGGAAGCATGGAGGCGAAAGAGGGGACTGGAATGACAGGTTTTGCTTGTGGCCAAAAATGTGCTCTTTGTTCTATTTTGGTCTTGCAATAGATGATGGCCTCATTTGTCTTTGTAAGTTTGACCTATTGTGCAAACTAACACACAACCAGACAACTTACAGAAAATAAATGTTTAATTATTATTCTTTCTTTTTGGTTTACATTTTAGGTCCTTCATTCTTTGTCACGCACACTGTTCATGCTTTGGTGTCTGCATGACATATGCTTATATTTTTTTTCAACCCAGCAAACATGCAAAGTTTTGATCTAAAAAAAAAAAGAAAGAGTGATGATAATTGCTTCCACATTGCTTTCCTTATAGAGTTTCAGCTGTTTTGGGTCTTAGTCACACATTGAATTTTGAAGCCAACCAGCTGATAGCAGACAGTGATTCTGGATCAAGTTTAAAAGCTGCAATAAACTGCAACAAACTGTGTCTGATCTTTTTCTCCATATCCTTCCATGTGTATCTTATAAAAAACAGTAAAGTAAACATTGAGGTGAATGGCAGGTTCAAGAAAACATTATTGATGTATCATTAAAGACACATTTAATCAAAGCTCAAAAAGGGAAACTCTAAAAGACCTACAGGGGTTAATGTAGCCATAATGGTGATAGTGATTGCTCTGGTATTGATTATCCAGATTGAGGGATACTTGTTGGCTGGTCTTGTGTCTGGCTGAGCTAGCTCGGGCTCATCACTCAACAGAGGGATACAGTTACACCAACAGGCCATGGCTGTGCATTATTTCTCTGCTCGCAGTTATTTCTTTGTTGTCGCTTTTTATCCCATATATTTGTGTAGGAAAGTGCATATTCCAGCTGATCCAAGCTGCCCCGTGGGAGATCACCGTCAGAGTCACTGAAGCTGATAAGTCAGGAATGATTGATGCGGCCAACAAGCACCTCAGGGTTATTGGAAGCATTGAGAATGCGTCATGTGTAAAACTAGTGCGGCAGGATCAGTCTGTGGTCGGATCAACCACGCAACAACTATTTACTCCTTTTAATACCTGTTCTTCTAGTTGTTACACACCTTTATAATTCTCCTTTGAAACATGAATCACAACAACGGCTTCAGGGTATGGAGTTTTTTCGTTCTTGAGTCGTAATACAAACTGTGTATTTTTAGCTGAACATTATGCTGTTATGTCTTTGTTAGAGCAGGAGCTGCGTACACACACAGGGGTTATACGCTCTGGCATAGCTCTTGAAGCCAGTGGAGCAGTGCTTTGTTACAAAGGCCAGGCATGTCGGTGTCAAACAGATCATTTATCTGCTGATCAGAGCTCCTTTTCATGCCCTTTGCTGTGTCACACTAAACCCAAGACTCTTCCTAGAGGCATGTTTTAAGTCGAATTTTCACTTACAGTGAATGCATAAAGGAGTGTGTCTGCTTTATACTTCTGTGCCTGTAAACCTCTACTTCAAGAGGGGAATGACACATTTTGGATGAAAAATACATCAGATTTACCCTGAAATAAGTTTACATTTTGAGGTGAAACAGAGAGACAACACTGTTGTTAACCGAGGTTTAAACAGACTTCCCAAAATCACTTCATTTGTTTAAAACATGCAGAAGATATCATCTTGTTTTCTATCATTTCTTAATATATATCTAATTAAAATATATGTTAGTGTTTCATTTACATTTTAGAAATGTCCCAAAAGTCTTTAGAAAAATCTCCCTTTGTCTTGGCAAAGCTCCTAAATGGACAGGATGTGGTATAATTTTCATGTTTTCAACATAAACAATGTTGCCTAAGTAAGCAAAAAGAGAGTCCAACCAAAACTGAAAAAATGGGGAAGAAACTAAAACTTCATCAACACTAAGGTCAGGGGCATTGCATGAATATAAATTCTGCATGGTCTGTGAGACTTTTTAAATACATCTGGTGACAAATTGGAGTTCGCAGATTACCAACCTTTATTGTGGGCCTCCAGCTGTGACAAAGAGTTAACAGCCACCTTGCACAGCGAGCAGTACAGCAGTTTCTTGGCCTTATCTTCCTCTGTCTCAGGGTTGGCCGGGCTGCTGGAAGCTGAGGTGCTAACCGCTCCTGAAACTGGGGGTCCGGATGCGGGCTGCTCTGAGCTGCTGCTACCACAGCCTGGGGAGGAGGAGGAAGTTGGGGGGATCAGGGGTGGAGTGGGGAGAAGAGGGCAGACTGATGGTACTGGGGAGTCCATGGGTGGGGTGGGTGGTGTTTGTAGTGGGGGAAGGGGCCCCGGGGCAAGTAAAGGCCCGTTTAGCTGTGACAGAGGCCGTGTCTCATCTAAGAAAAGAAGAAAAAAAAGAAATACATTAGAAAACCTTTTTACAGAGAATGTAGTAAGTTAGATGTAAGTAAATTAACTTGCTGTACCCTTGACTTAACAGTGAAACAAAACAAAATTCCACTGGAAATGCGATTTTGCTCTGTTTAACCACACTGTCAACCACTCCCTATTAAACGGGGAAGTTACCGCCTGTTCCACAGATCAGAAAAACCAACATAAAGTGTTTGCATTCAAAGGTTCTTTTAATTCCCTACACTGCATGGATACATTCACTCAAAGAGGGTAAATGCATGATTGCTATTGGGAGGATCACATGCCAAATGTGTCCAAAGGATAGCATGTTTTAACTGTACATACATACGCACACATGTGTTTCTGGTCAGCCGCCCCCATATGTAATGCCTTTGGTATTCACTAAATAATGAATGTTGGCTTTAAAAAGACCCCCTAAATTTGGGTGGGGTATACGAAACTCCCCATCATCAGTGGGGGATGGAGGCCTTCCTCCAAACTCTGCAGGATGTAGCGCCAAAGGTTGAGCAGCAGAAAAGCTTCCCTGGATTATGGTATTAAAGAGATGCCACGCGGTATTTCTGTGGAGTAAAAAAGTGTCACCTAAACTGCTTACTTTACTTTTATGGATTCTCATATGTATCTTCATCATGTCGTTAGACTTTCACTGTATATTTTGACACTTTTGTTTCACGCTGAGTCTTTCGTGGGTTTGTGTGTTTTGGGCTGGCTACTCTCTTGCATCATTTCTAAAGAAAATGCCATCATGAGTGCTTTCCATTCCACTACTGTCCAAGATCCAAATTCCTTTTCTTTGCATATTGGAAGTTTCCAGCAGCAGATCTGTAGAGCTGTATAAAGCTTTTGCCAAACAGATGTTTGGTTAAAAATAAAGAAAAAAAAGAATGGGTCTCTGACTTTACTGCATGTGGCAAGGAGGAATCCATTACAGTCCCGGATCAAAGAGCTGTCTGAGGGTACATGCTCTTTGAGGAAGATCATGACTTAATATGTCAGTTTAGTTGGCGCCCTGACTGACTTGGTTCAGATGAACGTGAAGATTTTGTTTGTGCAGAGAAATAAACCCCGGCTTCCTTGCCTAGCATTTGTTTTGGGTCAAGGGGTTCATAATCCATAAAGTACCTGGAGGTTTTAGATAGCACACCCACAGTTCCACCACATACAACGATTGTATCCTGCTGGATTTACACTTATCCTCCATAAAACAAGTTCGGCTTAAGGTTAAACCTTCTAGGCCTCCGTAGCCAGATACATTTAACAGGAATTGTTTCATTTTGTCATATTTACTAGGAAAAATGAAAAGCTGGGGAGATTTATTTGACACTATTTCCTCTAAGAGTAGCAGATACAGGGTGCATTTTTCTCCTTTCTTCCATCAGAGTTACTTGGCTGACCCAAAACTCTGGATGTTCTGTGAGTCTTATTAATCATTGACAAAGCAGCTAACTGACCTTCTTCCCCGCTTGCTGACCTCATAGTTAAACAGAAGAGGGTATTATTCATGGGAAGAGGTCAGCAGGGGGAGAAAACTCAATCCAGATGCTTTACACTATATTCTGATGGGTGCTTTAATCCTCTTCAGGAAATTGAAACTAATGTGAATTCCAAGGAAAAGGATTTTTCTGTGCAAAACACTGAACTTATTCCCGACTAATTCACCACAAAAACTTGTGTCCTTTAGCAATTTACATTCCATCATATGCTTGAACTTTCACAGTTTCTGCAGTCTGATGTATCTATTTAGAACTACAACAAAAATATGAATTTGTGTTAAAAACAGTAAATGAAGGGATGCATATATTGGCAACTTTTCCTTAATGTAAACACAAAGTAAATGATATCATTGGAGGAGGAGAATAAGAGTCAGTTTCCCTGTTGTTACATAGAAGGCACTGTTGAATGTCGGGTGTGATATCATGCTGCAATGTATATTTCTTTCTTAAATTCATACCTCTGGTCGTATTTGATACTGTAAAGACTTGGTTTTACACCGTGGTCATTCATGGAAAGTGTAGTTAGTTGGAGATAGTCGTTTTTTCTATTTTTCCATTAAATTGGAAACATTTTGTTGTCAGATACATTCGTCTTTTTTATTCCAATTTATACACATCAGGAATTACTTTGACAGAAACTGACCCATACCTTTTTGTGGGGGTGTATACTTTCTTCTCCAAGAATAATTTAGCTTGTCATAAGCAAGTCATGAGAAGATGTGGAGGTCTTTAATGCCAACTCAAGGGGCAACTGTGCATGTGGTATAAGGTGTAGAGGCTGTATCTGACACCAACATCTCCTTCATGCCCATTCTTAATGATTAAAGACTTACGAAACCCAATACTGGTTATACATTCATAATGCATTTGGGTGCATAATCCCACCCTGGCCTGTATTCTAAACCTAAGTCAGTTAGATATACACAAAAGCCCACTCATGCAAATTCTCTTGATAGGTAAGTAATGTTTCTCTTAGACTTTACCAAATAAGCCCCTACATATGCAGAAATTTGGAAAATTGACCGTGAATAAATAGAGAAAGAAAAGACCATCAGCTCTGTAATTGGATATCTGAGCTCACAGCCGTGCAACCCAAGCTCTCGCATGAAAGTCATCTGTTTAATTGACCTTGGGCGTGTGTGGCCATGTGAGTGTTTGTGTGAACCAAAGAGTGCCATAATATCAGGGTGGTTTTAACAGGACCCTTCATTAAAGTGGGAGTGACAGCACAGGGATAAGGAGGAGGGGGAGGAGGGAAGGAAGAGAGTTTCTCTCCCACATAGCAGCTGCCTCTCTATCTACCAGAGGTTTTGCCAAACCCTCGATTCACCAGTCCAAACCCCCCCAATATACTAACCACAAACCCTGCGAGGGCTGTATATTCCTCTGACCTGCTCTGAAAGCCACAAGGTTGAAGAGGCAGCCATAACCTTTCAGATTCACCCATCAGCAAGGCCTCAATATGTCATGTTCGTAGTCATCACTTCTGGTTGCATTCGATATGTTCAGTTATGAACCATAAAAAAAACAAAGTCAGAATGTCAGTGATAGACTTGGCACAGAAGTCAAAATCACTCATCATAAATAGATTCTAGTCAGCTCTGCATTGTGATGTTTTAATTGTTGATGTCATTGTTATATGGTGGACTGGCCACATTGTTTTTTATGTTTAGAGAAATGTTGTTTATGACTTTAATTGTCTTTGTCATGTTTAAAGTGGCGGCCTCAGACAAAGCTGCCCCAAACCACCCTGACAATGCCTTCTCAGTTGGGAAAATGCACAGCTGCATGCTCCCAGAGATCTGTCCCTCAACCATGCAGCTGTGGATCATGCTGAGGACACACACACACACACACAAGCGTGCATGCTGCAAAATCAGGAAAAGGCAAAGTTCCCGGGTCACGAGAGAGACTTGGATGGAAAAAGGCATTCTTTCACATGTTTCTACTTTCAGATCTCTATCATGGCAGGCTTTGTTTGGCCGCTTATGTTCTTGGAGTTTCTTTCTGGAAGTTGCTTTCATAAGAACTGATCTGAAGTTGATCCCCAAGATCCCCCATGAGTAAGGAGAGTAAAAGGGACCAGTTAGAGGAAAATGTTTTATTTAATGACAGGAAAAGGCAGATAAATTCTAATGTCTCTGATCCTGTACGATGGCCTTTCCTGGACCTGAGTTTTATCTTTTCACTTGTGATGTTTGCTCTGTGCCCTTCCATCAATAAGGAAGAAATGTCTGGTAAACAGAAAGCCACAGAAACCTTTGTAAATGTCACCAAAACGTGGCAGGTCTATTCATTGTCTGGAGTTTGATCCAAATGCAGAGCAGTGACACTGAGGGAATGGAAAAATTTCTCTGCGGAGAAAGGAGAAGGGCAGGTGCAGACAGTGCCCAGCCACTGAATTAAAACTCTAAATGAGATCATGAGCCAGACAGGGTCAGTAAAAGTAAGACTAAGACTGGGCTGAAGATGTGTTGCTATAAGGAATGAGCATGTGATACCATGGATTCTTCTTAACTAAGAAATTAATCTCCTAGCACCAAATTACTTTCCATCAAAGTGAGATCAGCTGCTGTGTGTGTCTGTTGTGATGCTGGATGTCCTTTGGTGTATTGGACTCCTTCACCATTGGGTCATTTTTATTTTTACTCAGTAAATCTTACCAAGTAGCTGACTCAAGACTAAGATACAGAGTATAAAGCTTTTTGCAAAGGCACAAAGAACCTGATAAACTGAAGTGCAATGGCCTGTGCAAATTCACCTGATTAAAGTGTGAATGGACCGACACCAAACCAGTTTTCATTGTAATCGCTAAAGGATCAATAAAATACAGTCATATTTAATGTTAATCTGCCTCTTATAAATCATGTATCAACAACTGTTTTTACATCTCAGCAGTTAAACGGGATTGTGGTGTCGACACTAAAAGTCAGTCAAACACTGTGGCCTGGTAAAATAGAAAAATTACAACTTTTGACAAATTCAATTTAACCTAATAAATTGACAGCTCCATTACATTTGGTCATTTGCTACAATTTCCAGACTCCTAACAGTGTTGGGTAGAAGTCCAGTGTAGCAATTAATTTTCTTTTAAACAAATATAATTTACTCCTACAAAACAAACAGTCACATCAGTGTAATTTTCTGTAGTTTGTGGGGCCATTTTTCCTGTGCCTAAATCAGACCACACAAAGAGTGTTTTCCTCAGAGAAAGTTCCTTTCAGAAATAATAAACCACAATGCCTCTGTGATTGGAAACCTTTGTTATTCTTGTACATTTGCTGTTTTGCAAGCCTGAAAGCTTGTGAATTCCCTGTGTAGATCTAAATGATTATGTCGGCAAGACTCAGAAAATCCTTCTTTAGTTTCTATTCCTGGTAATGTTTTTTGTCCTCTCACCCGGTTTGCTGGGCTCGTTATCAGGGGCAGGGCCAGGGGCTCCAGGCGGACATGGGGATGAATTTGATGGTTGAGAATGAGACTTGTCCCCGTCCAGAGGTCGACCCTTGGATGTCTCAATGCCTTTGACTCTCCTGGCATGGCGGTTCCCTTTGTAATGTGCCTCTGCCTGGCTCTGTGGAATAACATAGAAAAGACACTTTAAATTCACGAATGCCCACAGATGGACAACAGGTGAGTTCAGAATCTCTGTGACCTGTGCATGCATGCATGTCTCTGTCATAGCACGTCATTCAGCCTGAGAGAAACTAACAAATTACAGGCAGTTTCTGGCCAGTGATCTAATAGTCATTATGACAAAGTGTTGAATAAAATGTTGATAGTCTCTGCCTATCACCATTTCTTTGACTAATAGAAAGCATCTTTGGCATCCTGGCTTTTCAATCTACCTCTCCCTGGACGTTCTGAAAACATTTTGATTTATAAATTTAACTTAACTGTCCAGGGTGTACCCTGCCTCTCGCCCGTTGACCACTGGGATAGGCTCCAGTTCCCCCCGCGACCCCATGAGGGAATAAGCGGTATTTATAATGGATGGATGGATGGAAATTTAACTTATCAACACCAGAACAAATCTTTGCAGGCTAGTAGAACATTACCATGGATCAAGATTTATCACAAGTAAAAGAACTTTTAGGTGTAATATCTGCGACTTGAAATTCACACAGCACACTAAACCTCGGCTATTATAGCCCTTCTGACAGACATTTCCAAAGAACTTGCACTTCTGCCTATAGGGCCCATTAGTCTATTCTACCGCTGAATTTCCTAGTACGTAAACACATTGTGACAATTTTGCACAGTATCCGTGTTGTAATGTCAGTTCTCATGTGTTAAATGCTGTGATCACTTTTAGCTCCGAGCTATACACAGTCAGACTATTTCACAACCTCTGTCAAAAAATGTTTGCCTTTGGAATAGTCAAACTGTGCCACTAAGTCCCTGTCGGTAATAATAGTAGATAAAAGGCTGATTGATCCTTTAAGTCTGGGGGCTTTCAGGGAACGAAGATCACTCTGCATTCCGGCAAAGAAGAAATTGATATAAAGATCTACTACAGGAGCTAGTCAAGCTAATCTCCTGTTGACAGGCCATCTACCAGCTAATGTGTTTGTTCAGGGAGCCATTTGTCAGGAGACTACCCGAACATCAGGGCTTTCTGTCTTTAGCCCCTGTGTGTCTGCACGGAGGTATGTGAGCGTGAGACAATACAGTGGATGAGATGCAAGGTTGTTTTACTGAGCTGTCGCCAGAAGTCTGGCTTCACAGTATGGTGACCATAGAACAAACACACATCTAGCTCCACACACATCAGAGTGAAAGGCACTTTATTGCAACCTTTTTAGCCATTTGTTCGTGTGGTTAAACTCTCCACAGTTTATGTATCTCTCTATTAAAAGCATAAACAGACCCCTGAAACAGACTCCATAAGTTTTGAGAGAGCTGTTGTTCCACGAGATGCTGTTGTGTTGACCGAATAATAGTACCCAGGAGGACATAATTCAGATATTTTATGAGTTTCAGTGACTGAATTATAGTTATTTTTCAGGGATGTACTTTGTGTGGATGAGCAGCTGACAGCTGCCACGTGTGCTGAGAGGCTTGGACCGTGTGACTGACACCTAGGACAGCACAGAGACCACAGGCTCGAGTGTGGAGATCGCCTGGCTTGGAAAAGCAGGCAGGGGGTGACAAGTAATGTCACCGTGTCCAGCTGTTTATGTTTGCTTTATGCGTGTGAGTGCGATGGCATCTAAGATATGAGCTGGCATGTTGAACCTTAAGCTTTGGCCGCGGTAAGAAGATCACATACTTCATGTAAATCAGGACGATCACTGATCCCTGTGAAAGGGGTCTTAAGAAATTGCCACGGCAGAACTCTGATTAATCTGAAGAGAGTTGTGGTGAATAGGGGGTGTAAGGGGGCTGATATGAGAGGAGTTATTTCTCAGATGAGGAGGGGAATGTGGGGAGACAGAAATGGTTATGGGCAAAGCAGGCACAGAGGCTCTCATAACCTCTCCCATCATGCCAAGGGGATCAACCGCAGCAGCTGAGGGTCAGTGTGAGAACCTGGATGGAGAGGCAAGATGAAGTGGACAGTGGCGAGTCAAGGAAAGTACTGTTAAAAGGTCAAGGGAAGTATTTTAAAAAAGTGTTGTGAAAAGCTGTGCTTAAAATAGCTATGATGTAACAGAGACACAAATCTGTGAGAGGGGACAGGATGCCCAGTCAGTGACAGTACTGTTTCATTTTGCTGAGGGGTTCAAACTACATAGCACAATCATAGGGAAAGCTGCACCTGGAGTTTCATACAAGACACGCATGAAAAACAAATTCAATGGACATTGAACAAGCAGGAAGCAGAGTGAATGGTGCTGAATGGGAAGAAAAGAAATAAAGAAGAAGGAAGGTCAAAAATGAGCGATTTCTTTATCAGGCTTTTCTCCACTGCAGCAGCTGTGACGTCAGTCAGCTCCACCGACTGTGTGATGTCACTAATGCAGCACGCCATCAAGGTTATTCTGCCTAAACCATCATTTAGCACCTCACACCACCGCACAGTGCATACACAACGTGGTAAAAAAAAACCCTCTTCTCCTCTGCTCCAGACCTTCCCCTCCTTCTGCCCTTTCTGTTCGTTTCCCAAGATGCACTGGGATTGTCAGAGCTTGACGCTAATCTGTGCCCTTGACAAATGTGTCTTATAATAAGTAGTGACAGGCAATTTTGGGCATTTTCACACTATAAAAAATGCAGCAAGAGAAAGAAAGACAAGTTGAAAGATGAGAAAAAGGTTTCCATGCAGCAAATTCACAGGGATAGAGAAAGACATGGATAAACAAATGATGGTAGCATGATCAGGACTAGGTGAGAGCAGAGAAAAAGTCTTTTTTTTAATGAATCTAAATATCTTTTTTATCTAATCAACAAAACCCATATGAAGATGGTAACCACAGCATATCAAGATGAAGAATAAACATTCTAAAGAAGCAGTGAAGCGAGCTAAAGGTTAATCATTGTGCTGCTTTCATGGTTTTATTTTCATTTAATAATCTTTATGTTAAAAAGAAAGAAAACAGTGTGGTGGAGGGAATCTGTATGAGGAGGATCTTTTCTCTTCAGCAAATTACAACAACATGTAAGGCTGGTGATGTATTGAAAGGGTTATTTTTTAACATTGTTATAGTAGAAAAAAACGTGACAGTAACAATAGAGATTTTATCATATCTTGCTCATCACAGTCACAGTCTAAATTCATATAGTTTCTGGAAAGCAAACTGTAACTTTTCATTCTAATACGCTGACATATGAAAAATCGGCTTGTTTGCTGAATAATAAAAGTGTCAGTGAAATAAAATAAGTAGAATGAATGAAAATAGTAGTACATTCTTATTTCTATAGTCGGCCCTGTGTAGTTTCTAATCTGCATCAAACAAAAAAGTAAAAGCTAACAAAATCTAATTATTAAAAACTCATAAAATCTATATAATTGAACAATAGCCCAGGCTACCAAAAGAACACATTATTCAGCATTCACATTGTTATTCCCTTTATGTGAGGGAATCTTTATGTACTCATTTTTTTCTGTATATGTTAATGTATATTCTTTTTAACATGCCTTATTAACAAAAAAATCTATACACATACAGTCAAATATCTAAAATGTCAGAATTATATACTGACTTAAATCCCTAACTTTACAGCTTGCAGGATGTCTAAACTAAAGAGGCCAATACTTTATCACTAGCAGTGTGTTCCAAGTATTTCAAATGTAAACATCTCTGCTTCACTGTTTCCTGTTGCCTGTGAGGATTCAGACCAGAGAAGCCTACAAAGAGAAGATTACAGCCCTCTAGCTCCCTGACCACACAAAAACCATGATTGTAGATCCTCAGAGTATATATAGCACCGGTCCAGTCTTTAATGTTATGTATGGTGTGGATGCACGCCCTGGGCCTGAATTCTGTACCACTGAATAGGGAGAATCACAGCTAAATTATACACTCAACACATTACATTTGGCTCTGATCTTGTCATCCGTCTGTCCAGCTCACAACACGTCAAGACAGAGCAGAGAACCAATCTGGCATCACTACTCATGAAAAACTTCCCAATGACTTTTGCTTTCATTCATCAGTTATGTATGCAAGCTGGCAAAAGGGGTAATGGGCTATAAAAACTGGAATTATGAGTTCAGATAAACAACACCAGATGAGAAAGCGGCTGTTAAAGGAACTGACAGCACTTATCAAAACCATAACAAGGAAAACATGTTATGGTTGATTCAGCAGTATTTCAAGCTGCAGAGGCTGTTTTGTCTGCTAACTCTACTCTGTCTGAAAACAAATTCCAGTGGGGTCGATTGAGCCAGAAAAGCAACAACGACAAAAAAATAATAAAAAAATAAAAACATACACACAAAAAACCCCCACGAAATCCTCTGTGTCTTTATCAGCTTTACATAGGGTCCAGAGATGTCTACATCTTCTCAAAGAAAAGGTAAGCAAAGATGCCATGAGACATAATAGAGAGGGGATTTCCCTCTTCCATACCTCTGAGTTAAAGCGGATCTGGCAGACATTGCAGGAGATGACTGGCCGCTTGGTTTTCACCAGAGGAACTCCGAAGGTGTGGTTGATCACGGCCTTCTGCACCGGGTCCATCTGAAGAAAGAGAGGACAGAGAGACAAGGGAGATGAGAAATGTGTGAGCTAGATCCCACGCTCGCTGTATGGCTGTGCTCTAAAATACTGGTGCAATAGGTAACTTGATTAAGCAGTCATGTTGGCTCGGTATGCTGCGACCTCTTTCTCTAATAATGGACGGCAAGGCTGGGGAAAAGAGACCAGACTTTTTGGAGACTAAGCTTAAAAGTTGACTTAACCACATGCAGGGTGGATAAAGTGCGCAGACACGATTGTTTACAACATCTTTCCACTATTTAACTGAATGCCTGAGTTTGTGTTCAGCAACAGTGTTGATAGCATGTTGCTACAACTCAAACTCAGGCTTCTCATAACTCTAATCCTGACCAGGTTGTAGCATTACTCTGTCCTTGTGGTAATTGTTTCAGCTGGGATGTCAATCATATTCCTGGTGTTAAGCTCCTTGTATAAATCTAACTAACTCACTTAGCAACTCCTCCAATGTGTCAGCCCCCTATCTAAATGTGTCCTGGACACAAAATACTCAGCCCACATTGATCTAAGAGGGCTCCATTCCAATTATTTGTCTGTGTTTGAAGCTGAATTTATCTAGCTATTTCTGTTAGTTGACCTTAGGATTAGTCTGGATTTATTGGCTGGTGTAGAATTCCACAACAGGCAATTGTCTGACGTTTGTCCTAAGCCAGACAAGCATCATTTATAGAAAGAAGTGTCTGGGAGAGCAACAACAATAAAAGAATTATAAGCTTGACGCTAAAAAACGAGCATCTTTGATGATGTTTTGAATTCATAAGGTCATGAGAGATGAATGTTCCAGATGGTCATCAAACTATGATCCAAGCCTGCTTGTTTGTAGAATCTGACAAACCCTAAAGGACTCAGATGGGTTCATTACTGGATTTTATTTGGCTAATCACCAAGTTCTCCCTCTAGCTATCTTACACCCAGAGACAAAAGCTCATCTGAAATATAAATGGTTCAACTGCCCCTACGAGTGACAGAAAAAAAACTTTGAGAATGAATACTCTTAAAAGTCAAGCATAAACAACTAGACTTTTCAAAGTTATTTCGAAATTGTGAGTAAAAAACATGTGAGTAGGTGCCCAGAGATGTTTAGCCTGGTAGCTGGGCAGTATAGAAACACACCATCTGGAAGGAAATGAGTAAATGACTGACATAGTGGAAAATTAATTGGAACAGATAGAAAAAGATAGTTGAGGAGAATTGAGAAAGAGCCCGGAGAGGGAGAATGAAAACAGAGAAAGAGGCCCCCCTCACACATCCTAACATCGTGCATTCTTATCGCACTTGGCTCTCTTTCCCACACTCCACGTTCCACAACTCCCTCCCGTTCTCTCGGCAGACACGGTCCTTAACTAGATCTGCTGCCATCGCTGTTAATTCAGATGGATGGTGGCAGAGAATTTTGAGCAGAGAAGATCTGTCTAAAAATCTGCACAAAGGAATTAGCTCATCCGTTTATACTATTCCTAAAACCAGCACAACACTTATGACAAGAAAGGCAATAAGTCACACCCTGATATTAGCAGTCAGTTCATTGGTCAGATCCTTCCAGTTTCTAACATTTTTCCAGTATTCCCATGATTTTGACCCTTTGTTCTCCCATCTGAGAAAAGTTCAACGTAAGGTTGAACATGAGGAGGGTTTGAACACTAACTGTTGCACATGAAGAATGAGCTTCTTGCTGGCCAGCAACTGCAGTGCTCTGAGTATGGGTGAGGCATGATCCATGCAGTCAATGCAGTTGTTAGAAAAACACAGCTGTCACAAAGTGTTTTAGGAAGGCAGCTCACATGGCCTTTTACCTGAATTCTCGCCAAAAACATGTTCTTAATAGATGGGAGCGGGGCACTACGATATAAACATTGAGGGGGTTTTCCAAAACTCCCTCTCTCAGAGAGAGGGATAGTTCAGAAACCATGCTGTAGATTTATTTCAAGCAACAAAATCCCCAAAATCGGATTTATAAAAGCCTTATCTACAAAAAATAATCAAATAACAGCAATGTTCTGGGATTGTGGTTGGAGTTCTGACAAACATTGATTAAACCCTGAAATGAATACCCATCACTGCTTATGTCAACAGCCCCAAACGATTTTAAGACTTTTCAAGAAAACCCATGAAACAGCGCAATAGAGCCATTAATGTCTTCTTCAATAGTGTTGCTATATATTTGCCTTGCTTTTTTACTGCTTTCATCTCCTCTTAGTTTCTTTAGCTTTCCCAATTATGTTTGATCAACTCCATCCTTCCATCCTTCCATCCATCCATCCATCCATCCATCCATCCATCCATCCATCCATCC